AAGTGAAACTTTTTGCTGGGGGATCTACAGCACCCAAGTTTGCTAGTTTCTCTTTTGTTGCATTTTCCTTTTTCAGGTCCTTCTTCTTGTTCTTTGTTAGTCTTTGTTCGTTCTTTCTTCCGGCTGGTCTCTTGCCTCTTAAAAACACCACCTTTCAACTTTTTGGGTCACATGGGCAACTTTGTCTGTAAAAGATGAACACTTCCCCAGGTTGCTTGGAGTTTTAAGGGGTAAGTTCCGGCTGGTCTTGTTTTCGTTTTTTCGGTTCGCTTCTTCTCCCCGGCGGCGGTGGTCGAACGCCATGGGCCCAAGCGCGGGGAAGCTGAAGACGGCGCTGGGCCTGGCTTCGCCGCTGGAGAAGCGGGTGCTGCTGGTGGGCCCGGAGCCTCAACTCGGCCCAGGAACTTCCCCGGAACTCGCTTCAGTGTTTGATCTTTCTTGGGGTCCCTTTGGTTTTTTGCACTAAGGCAAGCAAAAATAATAATATATATTTATTTATTTACTTATTTATTTTTTGCTTGGGTCCCAATTCCAGCCTAGAGTAGCGCCCTTTCTCACGCAACGTTTTTGGTTGGGAGGGAAACCCCTAGCCAAGCCAAGGGGATCTCTGCCAGGGGAGACGTGAAGGTAATGGCGGACATGGGAATTAATTGACCACGTTTATCAAGCGGAAAGGGTCACTAGGTTCCCCAGTGCCCTTTTACTTGGGCGGGTTCCCCTACTAAAATAGACTACAGCAAAGAGTTGGTACCATAGGTGTCCTTGTTGGTCGTTTTTTGCGAAAGAATAGATGGCGATTCCTGGTTGACCAGGTGATTTACTCTACCAGGGAATTCCATTTATTTCCCCCAAAAGGACACTTATGGTTGGTACCCTTATTAAAACCTAGTCAAGTGAGACCTACGGCACGGCACCGCACAAAAGCGCGGAGCGCAACGCCAAGCCACACCCACACACCACCTTATTCCCCACCCGACAGGAAGGGGTTGTTAGATTTTATGTTGGCATCTGCGTTTGCGATGCTTCTACACCACGCCCCCACCCAGTATCCCGCCATAGCAGCTCGCCAGTGGATCCCGCCGAGCATCCCGCCAGAGCAGCTCGCCAGTGGATCCCGCCGAGTATCCCGCCAGAGCTGTTCGCCAGTGGATCCCGCCCAGTATCCCGCCAGATCTGCTCGCCAGTAGATCCCGCCGAGTATCCCGCCAGAGCGGCTCGCCAGTGGATCCCGCTGAGCATCCCGCTCGCCAGTGGATCCCGCCAAAGCGGCTCGCCAGTGGATCCCGCCGAATCCTGCCAGAGCGGCTCGCCAGTGGATCCCGCCGGGTATCCCACCAGAGCAGCCGGCAGTGGATCCCGCCGAACATCCCGCTGAGTATTCCAGAGTAGCTCGCCAGTGGATCCCGCCAAGCACGCCGCCGAGTATCCCACCAGAGCAGCCCGCCAGTAACTCCCGCCAAGCATCCTGCTGAGTATGCCAGAGTAGCTTGCCAGTGGATCCTGCCGGGTATCCAGTAGCTCGCCAGTGGATTTCGCCGAGTATCCCACCAGCAGCCGCCAGTGGATCCCGCCGAGTATCCCGCTGAATAACCCAGAGTAGCTCACCAGTGGGTCTTGCCGAGTATCCCGCTGAGTATCCCTTGCCGGTGGATCCTGCCGAGTATCCGGCCAGTATCGAGCCGGAGCGGCTCGTCCTGCTTTTGCTTAATGTCCAAAAGGGCCGACGAAGTCTTTAGGATGCGGAGGAATTTGGTGTAGCGGTCGTAAGATCGTGAGTGTGGAGGGTGGGGATTGCTCGAAGCGAAGTATTGTTTAGTAGTTGTTTGTTTTGGTTTGTGTGAGGTTATGATTCTTAGGGACCAATGACTACTATGAGCCAGGTTTATAGTTTGCTTCAATAGTATGGAAAGTGTTTCTTCATATCGATTCACAGAAACACATATCAAAACCTATTGTCGGAGGAAAAGCGCCCAGCGACCCCCAACGCGGTTCTTCGGTTATTTTTGGGACCTTTGGACAGGTCTCACCATGCGAACTTGGGCTGGCAGCGAGTTGTGTTACCCTCTTGTTCAGGGCAGGATTTGCATTTCCACTGATTTCCATCTTGGCCAAGTTGGATCGTTGGACTTGGAACTTTCTGCAACACGCGGATTTTTTTTCCCGCGAAACGCAGACCAGCGGAACTCTTCGTGGGGATTCAGCCATTCACTGATCAAAGCAGGCGACGCCAAGCGCCAACCGCCAGCCACGACACCTCGAAGCCATCGTGTTGGTTAATGACCCCGGATTTAAGTAGAACCCCTGGTTGATTTTGATCGGGGTGGTGTCCAATTCCTTTTAGTGGTTGGATTCAGACCACTTTTGGAGGGGTTTGGACACCTTTCTAATAATGGGACGAGTTCTACTTAGATCCTGGGTCAACATTACACGATGAACAAAACCGCCAGCCACAAAGCAACTAAGATGTCCCAGACCTCGAAGGCTCCGAGCTCGTGCAATGAACAAATCGTGGACTGCCAAAGCTTGGACGAATATGGACACATGGCTCGCTTCCTGAGTTCCTGGGCTTTTTACCTTTTGGGAAGACCACTCGAGTGGTAAATGAACAGTTTGCGTGTGTCTTTTGGGCCATCCACTCGATCGGAAGTGAGCCTTAAGTTCTAGACTCAAATTCCCAGCCATCCGTTTCCTCAGCTTTTCAGTTTTTCGTGTTTAGTGGTGGGTTTTCCGTATTTCGCCCACTAAAAGTTCGTCACTTTTGGTGGGGGATCCGAAAACGGACAGCCTATATGTGCGTCGTCTTTTGGGGGACACCAAGCTTTTGGTTGGTTCTAAAAGAAAACCAAGGGGAAAACCAAGGGTTCCCCTGCTAAAATGGAAACGTGGGTCCCGCGACGCCCCTTTGCTTCAGCGCATTCCCCTTCCAAGCTCCGCGGCCGCGCGGCGAAACCGCGCGCTTGAGGCCCCAATGCGGCGGGCAAGACTACGCTGCTCTACGGCTTGAAGCTGGGCTTTGACTCGGTTCCTTGGCAGATAGCCACGTGCTCAAAACCCGGGTAGATGAAGGTTAGTAATTGTGACAATCCCGACCATAAATAGCTGAGGATCTCCGCCTTCTTATTTCTTTCCTTGGTTCTGGGATTACGACCATTTGAATACCGGGTTTTGATTATGACTCAAATGGCTCTGGCTCAAAAAACCGGTACCAAAATAGAACCCTTGCAAGTGGAAATATGGACTAAAACCTGCGAAACCCCCCGTGTTTAATTTTGACCCATGGCCAAATGACACCAACATGAGGGTTGGTCAGCATTTCCAGTAAGCAGCACACATGAGCTGGAAGGATCAGGTGTCTCCCACGTTGGATCGTTTGGGATCGCCAGGCCGCAATCGCTTTTATTGCGTGGAACCTATCGCTCGTTTTGTTTTTTTCCCCAAAAGAAATCGGCAGATGGGGCTGTGTCTTGTTGAGGCTCGGTACCCTTTTTGGGGATTAGTTTCCAGCGACACCACCAGCAAACTCATCATGTTGTACGGTTTCCGTATTTGACAGGTAAAACGGATCAGAGACCTGATCATTTATTGAGGTTCCCGTAGGTGACACGTACCCAACAAAAACGGATCAGCTCGCCAAGATGGCCTTTTCGAGCGGCAATGGATCAATTTGCGTCAGGCAACCACAACTGGGTAATGAATCGGTTCCTGGGTTCCTTTCAACGATTTTCTCCCTCCAACGGACACTGAAACAAGCCCCCTGAAAGACCTTGATCAGAGGAACCTTTTGTCAGCTTCCAACGTTCATAGAGAGAGCTTTCCCAGTCAAAGTCAAACACTGGGGTGGTTGACCCTTCACACGACAAGTTCGCTTTACTTTGAGAAGGCCAACATGCTGTGAACCCGTGAATCAACCCTGGTTGATCGGTTTCTTTCATAGGGACACCAGATTCCGGGGGTGCTTGTACCCCTTTCACATAAGTTTTGGGCAGATGAACCCATACCCCTCTCCCCAGGATATATACCCCTTAAGTGGGTTGGAAACCAGGGAAGTCAAGGCTATGAATACTTCCACCCGACAGATGCTACGAAAGGTGACTGCCATAATCTTCCCAAGTGGAACCTGAGCACAGATTACTGGACTCCACGGCTTCGCTACTGAGTAATTGTCTTGCTCGTTTGGAATGAAGGTTTGGGTTTTGGGGTGATGAACCCAGTCCCTCCAAGAGAACCAGCATGGTTCCTTTTTTTTTCCGCGCGCAACGCCTTATGGGCCTGTTGGCCAGCGGTCAAAGTACAATAAGCTCAGGTGACATCCCCAACAGCATGCGGTGCTCTTTTTAGTGCTCGCACCACCCCGCAGCCCTCACAGAACCTCGTGGAACTTTGGTGGAACCCCTCGTGGAACCCTCGTGGAACCTTACCTCCGGGCCGCCCCGGACCACCCCGGAGCCTATCTGGGCTGAGACCACAAAGCTTTCAGCTGTTGGGAAGAACAAGAGAACCAGAATGGTTCGGTTTGGGGTTCCAACGAGCAAGTTTTGCAAGCCACGTGGACCAGTAGGTCAACTCCCGGGGTCAACTGCAGAGACAGGCCCCATAACGGTTCACCTGTGGAGCCTGATATTGTTGGTTCATTCGCCCAGAATCCATCATCGCATCGGCAGATCCGTGGATTTTCAAGAAGAATCCACCAGTCAGTTGCAGCGGTTTCTGGCGGTTTTCCAGCGCATATCCGAAAGGAATTCTTATTGAATTCCCTTTGAAGCCAAAACTGGGTTAGTCCAAAATGGCCCCGCCGCAGACCCTGACATCAGGTAATCCCCAACTGATGTGGTAACTGAAGCCCAGGGAGGGAGAAGGTGATCTGGGCGGTTCCCAGCCGTTGCTTTTATTTGGGTCAGTGGTTTAGTTGGTTTGTAGCGGCGTTTAGTTGCGGCGTAATCCGGAAAACTTTGCTAGCAAGACTTGGACAGTGAGTGCGGAACTCCCAGAAGCTCACCACCATGCCCACCATTGGCTTCAACGTCGCGCCTCGGTTGTTTGAAAGATACGGCGAACTCGCAGCGGTTGGGGGGTTGGGGCGAACTCGCCGACTCGGGCTTTGATTTGTCCATGGGGTTGGCCCGGGCGCCGAAAAGGCCATGGAACTTTGGCAAAGAAGATCTTCAACTTGGCGGTTCGAAATAGGCCGTCCGGCTCAACTTGGGGATTTTAAGTTGTTTTTGGGTGGTTTCGTGGCTGGGTTTCCGTATTCACCAAAAGCTTTTTACCTTTTGGCAGGGGATGAGTTTGGACAGCCCGGCTTCCATTTCGCCATTTCTCTGGGGGCCCTTTGGCTCCGGGTGCCTTTCTCGCGCTTTCCGCGTGCTTTGAACGCATTTGTGGATCGTGGGGTTGGATGCTAAAACTGTGGAGCCCGAAAATTGTTGGGCCCCGCAACAGGGGGGGTGCAGTGCCAGATGTTTCTTTGCGGCTGTCCCTAGACTCTATTTGACTAACTTGCTCACAGGGGCTGCTGGAATGATTAGGTCATTCCTCGCCCCGGAAAAAAGAAGAAGAAAAACAAAAACTAGCTCAGGTGATATCCCCAACAGCATGTGTTGCTCTTTCAGTGCTCGCACCACCCCGCAGCCCCCGCAGAACCTCGTGGAACCCTGGTGGAACCCTTGTGGAACCCTGGTGGAACCCTGGTAGAAACCTTGGTGGAACCCTGGTGGAACCCTGGTAGAACCCTGGTGGAACCCTGGTGGAACCTTAACGCAGGGCCACCCCGAACCACCCCGGAGCCTATCTGGGCTGAGACCCCAAAGCTTTCAGCTGTGGGGGAATAATGCAATTAGTTTTCGTGGTTTTTCGAATGAGAAATCCTCTGAACTTTGGACATGGGGTATGCCTTAAAATGTATAAACACCCCTCCACCCCCCAGTTCCAATATACATGTTTAATTTACACAATCGTCACACAACAACAAACGACTCAAAGCACGACAGGGACGGGAAACCAGAGAACCCCGGTCCCTCCCAGGAAACGCTGTTTGTGTCCCTGCTGCGAAACCGTCCCTCCCAGGAAACATGGCAAACTTATGAGAAACCAGCAAGCAGCAAGCCCCCCTCTGTTTTACGCGTGTGTAAACCAGTAGTCTCCCCTGTGTCCCTCCTGGGAATCCAGAAAGCCCTGAAACCGGTGTGTGTCAAAGCCAGTGCTCCCAGGAAACACGTGCCCTGCTGGGAAACCATCAGAAACCATCCGGGTATGGCTCAAAAAACCTGGTACAAAACGGAACCCTGGTAAGTGGAAACATGGACCAAAACCTGCGTAACCCTAGCCATCAATTTGCCAGTTCCAGCATTCGCCAGTCCCAATCAGTTCTTGGTGGCTCCCAGCCATCCCCTGAGCTTTTAGCAGGGGATCTGAGGGCAGCCCAGAGTTGATACCAGTTGACTGCAACCAAACTTCACCAGCTGCACACGGTTCCATGCAGCCTCGGCCAGTGCCACGCTGCCACTTTCACGCGGTACCACTGCGTGCCCCCTGCTTTTCCGCGCACTTCCTTGATCTTTGCTCCATTATGCCATCATTTTCCTGGGTCATTTGTTGCTTGCTTGCTTGCTTGCCTTGCCTTGCCTTGCCTTGCCTTGCCTTGCCTTGCCTTGCCTTGCCTTGCCTTGCCTTGCCTTGCCTTGCCTTGCCTTGCCTTTGCCTTGCCTTGCCTTGCCTTGCCTTGCCTTGCCTTGCCTTGCCTTGCCTTGCCTTGCCTTGCCTTGCCTTGCCAAAAAACCCACCGAATGCTAACGATCCCTTCGGTCTGCCACGCTCCCAAACATAACTTCCCTCCAAAAACAACCATATGTCCTAAAGATCACTGTCTCCTCCCATGAAAAGCGCTTCCAAAAAAACACTGTTCTTAGCAACAACTTCCAACACACCCTAAGATTAATGTTTTCTCCCGAAAAGAAAACAAAAACAAAACACTTCCAAAAACACATGTTCTGAACAACAACTTCCGAAACACTCTGTCATTCTCAACAATAACTTCCAACATTCCAAAAAACACATGTTCTTAGCAAAAACTTCCAACAAACCCTATGAATCCCAAAGATTCCTTGGGCCTGTCCTATAAAAGCGCTTCCAAAACAACACCCTATAAATCCCAAAGATTCCTAAACCACTACGTATGTCTCCTTCCAAAAAAAAAACACGTTCTTAACAACAGCTTCCAAAACACCGTATGAATCCCACAGATTCCAAAATCACCATGTCTCCTTCCAACAAATAAACATGTTCTTAAGAGCAGCTTCCAACACACTCTATTGATAGCTCCCAAAGACGCCTCGGGTCTTTTTCAAAGGAGACCATCACCCGGAAGCTCGAGAGCTTGACCGTTTGGGACCTGGGCCTGCGCAGCAAGATGCGCCCCCTGGCGCCTCGGAGAAATTTGTTCGAAGCCGAAGACCAAGAGACGTGGGGGGGTGGATCCATAGTCCATTTCCGGGCCCCCAGGGTTTTGACCACAAACAACAGCTTTCCCATTGAGTGGCGAAGGTCACTCACTTCCTGAGTTCATGAACTTTAAACTTTTTGGGAAGACCGTTTTAGTGGTAAATCTAAAGTTTGAACTTTTTTTGGGCCATCCACTCAGCCAGTGAGCCATTGAGTCGCGAAGGTCATGTTTCGAGATTTGACCACAAGTAACAATTTTCCCATGTGGCGAAGGTCTTTTTTAAAGGGGACCCCCCTAAAATGAGTTTTGCTTTTGGGTTGCCGTTTAAGAATCACGCCCTGAAAGGGGTACCGCCAAAAAAAGACGAGCCACCCATGGAGAGGTGAAAGTCTTCTTTTTTTCTTCGGAACTTGAGTGGGGAACCGGCTCCAAATGGGGTAGTGGACGTACATTTTCACCGAAATGATGTCCGCCACACGGCCTCATCAAATTAAACATTCCATTCAGAGCCCTCAGTCCACGGGGAATTCTTCCCACGTGGTTGAAATATAAAATCACTTTAAGTGGTTTTCCATGTAAGGGGCCTTTTGATCAACCCCCATCTGGTTTTAGATGGCTGAAAGGCAATCCGAAACTTGGTGGCTCCCAGCCATCCGGTTCCTCAGCTTTTCAGCTTTTTAGATCTTTGTAGTGTTTCGCGGTTGGTTGTCCGTATTTCGCCCAAGACAAGTTTCACTTTTCGCGCCTGAAGGAACCCTTTTCTCGGTTCGAAACCACCAAAACTGGAGCTGTGACCCGGAGCTTGGGTCTGGACCCAAGGTGTGCCCCTTTCTTTCTCACCCAGACCTTCTGCCATGAATCAGGTGATGCGTCCTTCAGCGGTAGCTCACATGGACCTGACAGCATGCAGAATGAGGTCACCCACTCCTTTTCGAGATATACTGTGTAGGCCCAACCGATTGTGATACTGATAGTGGGCTCGCTTTTTCTCGCCATCTCAAACGCGATCGCTAGTTTTGCCAGATCCACATGTCATGCATTTGGTCAAAGGCTCGCAACTCAGCCGTTGTTTCTTCCTGAGTTACCGGACTTTCTACTTTTTGGGGACACCATTTTAGTGGCAAACAAGCAGTTTTTTTGTTGGCCAGTCCACTCAGGAAGTGAGTTGTTTGCATGCCTTGGTATCGGGGAGAAACACATGACAACACCAATCTCCCATCTTCGACGGCACGTGATTGATCCACGGGAGCGTTTTGGGAATTGGTTTGGGGGCTGGCTGCAAAAACCTGAAAGGTGGAATGTCTTGTTGTTTTGGGGACCCTCCAAAATTATATTTTGTAGTTTCTTGCGTGTGTGCCCCCCCCCCAAAAAAAAAACAAGTACCCTCAAAAGCCAAAACCTGAAAGGTGGAATGCACTTAGCTTACCAAGCAATCCCCCCCCCCAAAAAAAAACTGCAACAACACCAAAAACACCACCAAGATTCGATTTGATTTTTCTGGTGTGTGTCCCCTTAACACCCCCCCCCCCAAACAAATATAAAGAAAAAAGGCTCAGATGACATCCCCAACAGCATGCGGTGCTCTTGTTAGTGCTCGCACCACCCCGCAGTCCTCGCAGAACCTCGTGGAACCCTCGTGGAACCCTGGTAGAACCCTCGATCCTTACCTCAGGGCCGCCCCGGACCCCGGAGCCTGGGCTAAGACCCCAAAGCTTTCAGGTGTTAAAAGCGGTTGGCGAAGCGGATGCCGCGACCCAGGTGAGGCATTACTGTGATTCCACCGATGCCTTTATCTTCATGGTCGCTGAGCTGCATTTCGAGAAGGAGGTTTGTGGGATGGCTCCGTTTCGGAAAACCATCTGATTGTGAAACCACACCCCTTTTTTCCCGGGTACTGGTTCTTTTCGCGGTTGGAAGACTAGACCACAAGACAAAAAAGGGGTCCCGGAGCCCCCCCCACCTCACTCCTCGTTGAGGCACGGGATCAAGCATCGGGAGATACCCTTGTCCCAAACTGAAGGCCCAGCTGGCTCGCTCGCTGGCGTTGCTGAAATCTACGAAACACCGATCAAGCATGGAAGCTCCCATCCAACAATCCCAACAATCCAACAATCCCAACAATCCAACAATCCCAACAATCCCAACAATCCCAATAATCCAATAATCCAATCTTTGCGAGAAAGACCACTTTTGCAGGAGGTCCTCCCTCCAACAATCATGGAAGCTGACGATGGGAGAGTTTTGGCACACGACGTTCCTTTTGGGGAACCCCCAAAACGTTTGTTGGAAGGAGGGGCTGATTTGCATCGAGAGATGACTGAGAAGCGAGCAAGCCGGATGAAAGGCGCGCGCTGTCCACTTCTCACTCCAAACTCTCTGGTGATCTTTGACTAGGTCCCCCAGCAATTGCTGGCCTTTCTCACCCCTTTCTTTTTGGGGGGAGAGTTTTTGTACTAAAATAGACAGAAACAAGTTGGTACCCTTATTCTAACCTCTCCACTGGAAGACCTAGTTGACGTGCCGAACCCTGCCTTGAACATCGGAGCGTCCGCAAAGTAGGTGCCAACCACGGGCACCCACAGCAACCGCGAACGGCCGAGGGCGCCAGGGGTTCCCATTCGGGAATATGGGTATGGCTCAAAATTAAAGAGCTAGGGTTACGCAAGTTGTACGCTTTGGTTCCATTTACCAAGTTGCCATTTTGGTACCACTTTTTTGAGCCACACATATATAAAACCAGCTCACCGTGATCTTGAAAATTACCCTTTTTCTTGGCTGCTGCTCAGTAGGGAATGACGGGTTGGGAACGAACCGGGAGGGGATGCCCTTAAAGAAAGCCTGAGGGGATGGCGTTTTCTCAAGGTTTAGGTTTATGGGAACTGTTGCAGCAAAATGCAGAACAAGCATGCCTGTGAGGATCCTTTCCAAATATGATGGGTGCTCCTAGTATCAAGGCTTGGGCCAAGCGGCTTGGGTACTAGTTTGGCTTTTCTTGTTTCTTGAAGCACCCCTCCACAAATTGGCTGGCTCTCAGACATGGCAACTTTACTACGCACAAACGAGCAAGTGAGCCACTTTGTGAGCAGTTCACCTTTTGGTTGCCATTTGAACATGACTTTCTTTTTGGTGGTGCTGAAAGTGTACATGTGGTTTCGTCACTATGTTGTTTATGCTGAATGCAAGGGGAAGCCATGAATTGAATTTGTGGGCAGCCAAGTTTTAGATCAACTCTTGGAATGCAGGTGGAATGTGTTTTTTTTCTCCTGAGGGCCTCCATGCAGACCCGAAACGAACCTCCCCAAGCTGGAAATCAGGACTTTGACCCCAGCCTTGCAGTGTATCGTTTGGGAAAATCAAGGGGGGCGGGCCGATTTAGGATTGGGGTCCCGGCATTTTTTGGGCAGTGGTTACACGCTTGTGTCACTTGTACCAATATTCTCTTGGGCGCCGGTAATGGTTTTGGGATAGAGACAGCCCAATCGCTACTCATTTCCTGGAATTTGCCTTCATGAAGGTCCAGTATGTCCATTTGCCTGAACCTTCAGTTGTTCCGCATTGGGAGTTCAGACCTTCTTTCTGGCAGAAGGGAAACCAAAAAGGAAAACCATGTCCTTTGAGAAACACCACATGACCGAAGTCCTTTTTAATCAGATACCCCCGTTGTTTGGTGTTTTGAATCGGTGGTTTGGTGGCTTCCCATTTACCCTCTACAAGGACCAGGGTTCAACTCCCCACCAATCGAAACCCAGCCATCCGGATCCCTAGCATTTTAGTTCTTTTTAGTTAGTTTGGTTGGGTTTCCGAATGTTAACCCACAAGTTCGTAACTTTTAGCCAGGGATCTAAAAAAGGACAGCCCAGAAAACGAGAGAAGCGCGTATCCGTCACTGTTGGCCAGGGATCTGAAAACGGACAGCAACCAGAAAACGAGGGCAGCGTATCCACGGGCCGCCGCGACCCAGGTGGACGCGACAGACCGGGAGTTCTTTTGGGACGCGGAGGAGCTCTTCGAGTATACCCGCCGCGGGCTTCAGGACATCCAGAGCGCGCCTGTTCTAGGGGTTGATTCCTGGTCCATTTTTTTTGGGGGGGGGATTGTTGGGACCGGGGTGCTGGTAAATACTCCCAGGGCAAACGGCGATGTGTTTGGAAAGAACGATGGTTGAAAAGAATGGGGAATCAACCCCTAGATTAGAACGGCGACTGTGTCCTTTTTGGCTTGCTGGTGCGATAGGTAGGCAATGAGGGAATGAATCCCCGGAACCCGGCAATTCCCTTAAAGGAAACCACAAGGAATGCTTTGTAGGGGTTATTCTGAGCACCAGCAAGTTTTAGGTTGGTTTGGTTGAAAAGTCGAGGCAGATTCCTGGTTTATGTGGTGGTTCAATCAAACCCGGGAAGGGCCAATCCCAACCATAGATGTCCTTCTGCTCGCTTAGTTTAGAAATAGACAGGTACCAGGGAAACCCAATTCTACCAAAAGGCTTCCTACGTGCAATTTACCCTCTACGAGATCCAGGGGTTCAAATCCCCAGTTCCCAAACCATCAAATTAGGGGGACGCCGCGCTTGAATCTTCGGAGTTGAGTTGTTGATGACCCGCTAAGTCTCCCTAACTGCAGGCAATCTTGTTAGTGGTTGGCCACCTGGGGTACCCACTTAATAACTTGGCCGAGCATCCCGGTACCCTTTTGGGGTAAATAACTTGGCCGAGCATCCCAGTACCCTTTTGGGGTAGGGAAAGGAGAAACCTATGCAGTTTGGGGATTGACCGGGCCCTTTTTTGGGTTGGGAAGGCAAGCGACTCTGAAAAAAACAGCTTTTTCCCGAATGCATACTAAGGGTTCCCGTTATAGAAACGGGTCTGGGAGTCAGCATGTGTTCGCGAGATGCGTCCGCAAGCGGCTGCAAGCGGTCGCCAGCGTTCGCAGGTGGCGAAAGTTGCCGTCAGAATGTGCGATTTGTATGACCTGCAACAGCCAACACGTTGTTTTCGTTGCGCTTGCGTGCATTACGAGGTTGCGTGCCGTTTCGCCGCGCAGGCGCAGTGTTTTAGAGGCGATCGTTTTGAGGTGTCTTCATTGGCAGGCGTCTGTGCGAGTGGCATGTTTGCTGGCCTTGTCGCAATCGGCTCGTTTTGGCGAGCTTAAGCTTAGTCAAAGCCTGTCGTCGAAATCATTCAATTCGCAGTGACGTACGAATTTCTGACTCGCGTCGTAAACGCGTCAGAGTTGATTTTCGTGACAATTCTGAGCGCTTTTGTCTGAAGATTACGTGACAGGTGCAGCACTTTGGAGCTCATTTCGCGGCAGGCGCAGCACTTTGGGGCATGTCTCGCCGGAGGCGCTGATCTGCGCGGCAGACGCGGCATTTTGGAGGGTGACAGCATTTTCGTGGCAGCCGCGGCACTTTGGATCACATCGCTGCTTTTCGTGGAAGGAGCAGGACTTTGAGGTTGGTTTGAATATTTCGTGGCAGGCACAGCACTCTGGAGCACGTTTCATCGGAGCCTGACTTGCGCGGGAGGCGCAGTACTTTGGAGGGCACATGCTGATTTCGTGGCCTGCACAGCACTTTGTAGGGTCGCGCATTGATGATCGTGACCGGCGCAGCGCTTCGGAGCAGGAGCGTTGAAAGATAAAAACAGGTAGGCCGACAGACAGACAGACAGACAGACAGACAGACAGGCAGGCAGGCAGGCAGACAGGCAGGCGGACAGACAGACAGACACACAGACAGACAGGCAGGCAGGCAGGCAGGCAGGCAGGCGGACAGACAGACAGACAGAACAGACAGACAGACAGATATATAGATGGATAAATAGATAGGGGAGGTAAGTAGATAGACAGACATACGATGTAGGCACATAGACAGAGAGGAATGATAGAACCATAGCTAGATAGATAAATAGATAGGTAGATAGTTAAGTAGATAGATAGATAAATAGCTAGACCGAGACAGATAGAGACACATAGAGGCTAGACTAAAACTAAGATGGATGGATTGACAGATCGGTCCGAATAGACTGGATTAGAAGAGTCAAGGTAGATTTGAGTAGGTTACACTGGGTTCGCAGATGGACAGATTAGATTACATCAGGCTACATTAGACAGATAGATCGATAGATGGATAAATGGGACTGATCGACGAGAGATGAGAAACAGATAGATAGATAGATAAGATAGACAGATAAATAGATAGGTTCATGGGTTGACAGATGGACAGACACGGATAGATGAGATTGATAGATCGGCAGAGAGAGAAAATAAAGATAGACGTTAGAGTAGATTAGTTTAGAAGGGACAGACAGATAGATTAGTGGACTTCATAAATGCGCAAATAGATGCATGGATGAATAGCAGCCAGACGGATAGACAGAAAACCGAAAGGTGAGGCCCTGGGGGCACACACGCACACAACAGTAGCTTGGGCAATTCACCTTGCATTCGGGCTCGTGCTGCTGTCAGGGCTTTTTCCCCTGGAGGGAGCGCCATTTTTCTGCTTGTCGAATTGCCTAGAATCATAAGGGACGCTTAGGGAATAGTCATTCCATGTTTTTCTTCCTTCCTATATTCCTATAAGTTTGCCTGCAGTTTCTTCAGCTATTAATATTTTTCTTTAAACTGGTTTGCAGCTTTTTTAGGAATATCTATCCCTGACAGCTCTTGGAAGGTGAAGGCTTTTTCTGTGACACCGCAGCGGAACCACAATCAAAACCCGGGTAGGTGAAGGGAAGCAAGGGAGCATGCCAACCACAAATAGGCGTGACCACCTTTTGAAGTCTTTTCATGGGGTTGGGTACACCGTTGTAATACCTGGTTTTGTGTATGACTCACTTGGGCAGCACGGGTTTTGGTTTCGCACTGGAGGAACACGACCGCGACACCGTGCCCTGCACCTTGGCCAGTTGGCCTCCAGACCTTTGGCGTCTGAACGGAACATTGAAAGGAAACCATCCATGTTTTTGGGAGGGCGTTAGAAACATGGAGTTGGACGCTAATTAGGTTCCTTTGTTGGTCGCGCATCCGCTTTTTGTTCGGTGGGGGGTGTGTGGACTAGAAGCATGGAGTTGGAAATTAGGTGCCGTTTTTTTCGCTTTGTCGTCCTTCCAGCTCCGTGATTTTGGGTGACTCAGTTTGAGACTGGCATACGTGTTCCCTCACCAACTGCAAGGTACAGTTTCTTGGTGGCTCCCAGCCATCCGGTTCCGTAGCTTTTTAGCTTTTTAATTTTTAGTTGGGTTTTCCGTATTTCGCCCACTAAAAGTTATTCACTTTTAGCGGGTCCGAAAACGGACAGCCCAGGTTTGGCACGCAAAACGGCCATGGTCCTCACCGGTGGATGTGCCCAAATTAAACAACTGATCGGTCTCTGCGGAGGCCTCTCAAGTGGTTTTAGAAGATAAGTGTCATGGGGCCAACGCTGTTTACTTCCCCAGAATTAGCTCTTCTTTTTATTTTTTTATATTTTTTTCGGGTCCCTTTGTTTTCCACTAACCAGGCTCTTTTTTTTGCTGGGGTCCTAATTCCAGCCTAGCTTAGACACCTCAGTGAGGTTCTTAAGCCGCCCTCTGCTAGCAGGGTCAATGAGTCTGGTGCCTTGGAGGTTTCAACATGTCGTTGAAGTTTGGACAAAACATGACACTTCCAGAAGTTTGTGTTGCACGGTTTGTTAAGCTGGGGGCTTTGTTGAAGTTATGTTTGATGTGAAGGTCCGCAACATGCCAGAATTGAAGAACACGATTTTTGCCCCGGGGCGAAGGCTGAGGCTGTAAATGCGGACAGGCTTAGTTGGGAGGTTGGTGTGTGCCTGAGGCCTGGTGTTTGCCAACAAGCATCTCGGATGATGGGCCTGGGAAAGAAGACAAGCTGGTTACATTGGTTGGTGCTTGCTACTTTATCTCACCGGGGTCTCCTTCAAAACGATTTCCATTTTTAACACCCATCCTAGTCTCCTGCAAATTCACACGGAATATCACGGAGGGTCCCGAGTTGGATAGTCTCCTTGACTAGGTCCCCCAGTAGTGCCCTTTTACCCTTTTTGGTTGGCAAAGTTCCCCTACTTAAATAAACTACAAAAAGAAGTTGGTACCCTTATTCTAACCTGGAGGACCTAGTTGAGGAATCACCGCGTTTTGGGGGTCCCTGTTCATTTGGGGAGTAAAGTGGTTAGGGATGGTTGGGGGCGGAGGCCCCGCCGCCCCGGGGCGACGAGGTCCCGGCGGGCCCCCTCAAAAGAGGGGACGGGTGGGAACACGGGACACAAGGTGTTTGCTTTATCCTACCATATCATATGTATATATACATATGATATTTAGAAGCTGTCCTAGTTTCTTTGTTCAAGGCACCACAGTTTGAACCTTTGGTCCTCAGCCGAGCGCTCAACACACGGGTGAACCTCCAGATGGATGTGGTTGTTTCTGGAGTTAGTACCCCTTTGGTGCTATTCTCTTGGGAAACTTCACGGTTCTTGGCATTGTCGTTAGGTTTTAGATGTTTTTTTGGTTTTGTTTTCTGTTCATTTTTAGTAGGGGGCTGCCAAAAAAGCAATGTTTTTTTTGCTACCACTTCAAGGGTTGAACAGAGAAACCAAACAGAAACTCGCCATTCTTCGGGTCCGATTCCTCAAGCTCGGGAAGCTGGATGGGCTCAGGAGCTTAAGCAGCTTGGGCTTCATTTACGCGGATACCTCTTTTTGACCCACAGCCATTTTTTCTTCTTCTTTTGTTTCTATTTTGCCGTGTTGGTTTTAAAGGGAAGCAATCTCGCTATTGGACATATGTTCTGATTCTTTCCAGGGGCTGAAGCAAATGGAAGAAATTTCAGGGCCGAAATCACTGAAATGGGGATGAGGTATTTCAATAAAACATGTTCAGTCTGTCACGATATCTAGCCGTACCCTCCCCATTCTCTTCAGGGGTCCTTCTCTTCAAAAAATGGGCCACACCCCTGGAAAACAGGTGGTTTCTAAAGAGACCGATGAGTGAAGAGAATGGGGAATCAAGCCATAGAAATTAGTTGTCCCTTATCTTATCCTCATTTCCTGAGTTCCTGGACTCTCGTCACTTTTTGCCTGAGTGTTTCACCAACAAGCTTGGCTACCTTTTGGCCAATCCACTCGTTCGGAAGTGAGTATCCATTTCAACTAGGGGGTGGTTCAGAATTCGTGGCAGATGGCAGTGAAACGGGGGAATGGCCAACCTCTGAGCTGACTTCGCTGTTGGCATGTTGTTTGTTTTTGTTGGTTCTGCATGTATTGTGTTATGGATTGGAAAACTAAATAGCAACGAAACCAATTCTAAGCACCTCAGCTTTTGGTTTGCGCAGAACTTTGCCCCGATTTCGAAACACGGTTGCCACACGAGGGCTCCCCAGCTGGCACATGATTTCCGGTGCAAAACCTCGGCGTGAAATGACCGAGGTCAGACCACCCCGGTGCCATGTCTTTACAGGAGATCAGTGACAGGCGCACGGGAGATGACATCTCATTGCGTGCCGCTTTTTTTTCCGCTGAACTGACAAAAGGACTGGGGGTGTCTTTCTTTGAGGGTCCCCTTTTCTGTAAAGGGAAGCCAAGTGGAAAGCGTTACCGTCATGGGGGGGGTCCCCTACAAAAAGCACACCCCGATAGTCTTTGGTTTCGTTTGAGGATGGGCTGACCCACATGTCCCACTTGGTCTAGGTCCCCCCAGTGCCCTTTTACCCTTTTTTTGGGGAGGGTTCCCCTACGTTGGTACCCTTATTCTAACCTCTCAAATCTGGGGGACCTAGAGGTTGGCCGCCCAATTTTCCGACGGAAACAACTTTGGGCTTAGCTCCGGGGGGTTCTGAAGGTACGGGCTTTTGAGACCAGTTTTCAGCAAAGCGACGCCTCCTTCATGGCTTGGTGGTTCCCAGCCATCTCTCTAGGTTTTTAGTGGTTTCTACTCGGTTTGTTCCCATGTTCAGTGGCCCCTATTTTGCTTGGTGGCTCCCAGACATCCCCTTAGCTTTTTAGCCTTGTAGTGTTTAGTGGGGATTTCCATTTAGCCCACAAGTTCAACTTTTAGCGTGGGATCTGAGGACAGCCCAGTTATGCGGTAATGATGTGCTTTTTGAAACAACCCACATGCACCTGGCCATGTTCGTGTGTGTGTGTGTGTTGTTTGGGCGTGAGTGGGTGAGGACGTGTGTGATTGCATAATGTGGATGGATGTGTGTCTCTGTCTCTGTGTCTCTGTGTGTCTGTGTGTCTGTGTGTCTGTGTGTCTGTCTGTCTGTGTGTCTGTGTGTCTGTGTGTCTGTGTGTTTTTGTGTGTGCGTGTGCGTGTGCGTGTGTGTGCGTGTGCGTGTGCGTGTGTGCGTGTGCGTGTGCGTGCGCTTGCGCTTGGGCGTGTGTGTGGGTGTGGGTGTGGGTGTATGTGCGTGTGCGTGCGCGGCGCGTGCGCGTGTTTGTTTGTGCTTTGAGGGTACCAGGGTACCAGGGTACCATGTTCATCTCGGTTTTGAACACCAAAACGACAAATCCTCTGTTTTTTCGTGTTTTTTTTTTTTGGGGGGGGGGGGTTTGCCCCAGTTTGATACATGTCCCCATGTCTTCAAACACGGGCTTTTTAAGACCCATAACTTTGAAGGTTGGGCCTTTCAGGTGGATTCTGCTTGGCTTCATAAAGGCAAGGCGTGCAAACCTTTCCCATGTTCTAACCAACCAACCCAACCCAACCCAACCCAACCCAGCCCAACCAACCAACCAAGCAACAGCTCAAGCGAGGGTTCAACACTTGTCAGAATTGCTCCGAACCTCAAATTGACCAAGCCAGGGTAGAGTGCTGGGTCCCGTGGTTTTTCCCGGGCCTTGGTGCCCCCCCCACAAAGAGTCACCCCTGTTTGGACCAGTTGAGGTGATTGTCTAAAGCCCCCCTGCCCTGGGGTGCGACCACTCCCTGACTTGCAATGTATACTTTTGGGACCATGTCAATGGCAAACAAGTTTGGGCCTGATTCAGAGCCACCTTCTCGCAAGCAACAAGGTGGCCCGGAATGCGCCCCCTCCGGTGACATGTTCAAACCAAGCTTCCATTTGCTTTAGAGTATCTTTTATTTTCCCCTGTTGATTTTACAGGGAATCTATCACTACTGGAAACTACTGGACATATTTTCATTGATTTCAGAGGGCTTCAGCAAATGGAAGCAAGGGGAGGAGTTGGACACGTGCAGGCTGAGTCTCCCAGAAGCCGCGAAGACTTGCCCCGTGCACGTCCAGCCCTGTGACGCCAAGACCGGGGCGCCTCGGCGAGTTTCAGTTTGGCATCGGTCGGTGTTCGGGGGCACCTGGCCGCCTCTGTTTGCTTGGCTTGGTGGCTCAACCAGCCATCCGGTTCCTTAGCTTTTTAGCCTTTGAGTGTTTAGTGGTAGTTTCCATTTAGCCCACTAAAAGTTAATCACTTTTCGCGGGGGATCTGAAGACAGCCTAGTTGGGTGATAAATCCTGCAAATCTGGGGGAAGCTTCCATTCTTTCCAGGGATCGGGAGACAATGGGGAATCGACCCCTAGAACAAAGACGGTTAGGGTCTTCATGACGCCATTGATGAGCAGACACAGGCGGCCAAGCATTTCTTGGCTTCTGATTCACATGAAAGGGCGAATGACACCTCTTGGTTTGCTTTCATTCAAAATAGGAGGACCCATAAAATACGAAATGGGTGGATTTCCTCTTGGCTTGCTGTTAAATGAGGGGGGCATGGGGCAGGCACCCTTGAAAAATGCGCATCCAGTTTGTTCTCTACAAAACAGTGACTGTTTAACGGAAAACGGAAAACCACCAGGAAAACAAGCTCTAATTTGAGGGCTTTTCCCATCTTAATACCCATTTGTATATGTTTGGGGGGCTAACTTGTTTTTTCTCAAACACTGAGTTGGAGATTCCAGGGGCCCTCCATTTTGAGATAATAGTTGGGTTTTAAGTGGCCACTTTATGTGAGTGGCTCAGAGAATCCCCTTTAAAATATATGAGCTGTGATAGGGATGGGATGTCCACTCTGGCATCACCGGAAAACGAAAAACGAGATCATTCAACTGTGTCTCTCCCAAGGCGCAGGTTGGGTTTCGGTTTCCGGAGGTGTGATGGGTGCTACAAAAGAACAGGTTCTTTCAATGCGGCTGGGTTTTGCATCCCAGCGGGCCTTAGCCTATGGGCGGGCCCACTTGGGCAAGCCGCAAAGGGTTGTGAACTTAACAGAGCCCAACAGAGCCCAGAACGAAACTAGAGGGGCATGGGCAATTGTTTGTTCCTTTTTTTGGCTTCCGAGGGGAAGGCCGTGTTTCAAGAGGGCGTGGTGGACAAGTCTGGGGGGAGCGTTGGGTTCAATGCGTGCCACGTGAAGTTGTGCTCATAGGGGGCAGCTCGTAGGATGTTTCATCCAAAGGGTTCACGTTGAATTTCCGCCTCGTCGCAGGTCTCGGTCTTTTTCCCTGATAAGGTCAATGTGGCTGTGGCTCAAAATTAAACCACCAGGGGGCCGCAGGTTTTAGTCCATGTGTCCATTTGCCAGGGTTGAATTTTGGGGTTACCCTATTTTTGACCCGCAGCCATGTTTCGTCACGCCAAAAGGGGATCACCTGTTTTTTCCAGGGCCTCTGGACCAACTGAGAGGTAGTTGGCTTCATGTGAAGGCGGTCAGACCCGCGTCGGGCAGCTCTTGGTGTGCAGTTGTGATGAGTTGTGGTTGCTGATATTGCCAGCCTCTCGTTTTGCCCTTGGCCCTGGTAGAGGTTTTCCTTTGGTTTTCCTTGGCAAACCGTGAGCTGTTTTGCGGGGTCCAAGTCTGGAAAAAAGACAAACATAGGTTCGTGACCAGAGCTTTGTCAATCCGCCGCTTGATTTCATGAAAGTCAAACCTCGCGAAAGTTTGCCATGTCTTGGCGGTTCCCAGCAAATCGTCCATTGCCTTAGGTTTTTTTTAGGATGTTTTGGTGGGTTTAGTGGGGGTGAACGTATTTCACCCGCTAAAGTTAGTCATTTTTGGCAGGGGATCAGAAAACGGACCGCCCAGAGTTGAGTTTCTTTTTCACTTTTAGAGAGGGCCCGAACCAGGTTCCTCCATTAATGGGCTTGTTTAAGGGGGACCCAAAATCCAAAATGGTGGTTCTCCTTTTTGGTTTCCTGTTTTCATACACCCAGGCGTGTCACCCAAACCTTCCATGGAGGCACTTCCACTTTTCCACTTCATTTCAAAACAACTAGGGTTGGTCTTCCTTTGAGGACCCCCCCCCCTTTATTGCCTGTGGGTTGCCCAAAAAACGTGGGGTTTCTCCAAAGGAGTTTCCTCTGGGAATGTTTGACGGTTTTCAAGGGTTCCGCGGCGAAATCATGAAAAAACATCGTCCTGCCTGGAGTAGACTTAGGACGCTTAGGAGACATTGTGCATTTTACCAGTGACTCAAATTGAAGCAAACCATAAGATATACCTTCTATAACTGGTTGCCTAACTCTAATCATGGGACCCCATTCCCTTGCGTGTGCCAAGTTTCCGCTCATATGCTGATCTGAAAACGGAGAGCCCAGCTAAGACGGGTCCCGCCTTTCGCGCGCCGGTCTTGTGGTGTCGATCTTTCGATTTTTTTTCGATTCTGTTTGGTTTGCAAGGGTTCCGCAGCAAAATCAGATCAACAAAAACGTTCCGCAGCAAAGTCAGATCAAACATTTTTTTTAGAAAAAATATTAAACAAAAAAATGTCCCGCTTGAAAGCGCACTTTTTCGGCGGGTTTTGGGTGGTCGATCTTTGGATTTATTTTTCTCGCTTCGGAGGAGGGCGTGGAGGCGGGCTTGGACTTCCTGGCGCGGGCCAAAGGCGTGGGCCTCTGGTTTGGCGCCGTGGACTTAGCCGGTCGAGTGAGTCTGCTGGGGGGGGAGGTGAGGGCTGGGGGGGGGGTTTGGGGTTGGGGGTTGGGGGTGGGGGGTTGGGGGTTGGGGGTTGGGGTGGGGGGTTGGGAGTTGGGGGTTGGGGGTTGGGGGTTGGGGGTTGGGGGTTGGGGGTTGGGGGTTGGGGGTTGGGGGTTGGGGGTTGGGGGTTGGGGGTTGGGGGTTGGGGGTTGGGGTTGGGGGTGAAGGGGTTGAAGGGGTGGGGGGTTGGCAGGGGGGAGGTGGTTGAGACTGTTTTTGGTGCAACGTTTCTAGCAGTAAGCAGCGGCTTGGATGTGAAGGGTGCGTCCAGCATCGTTGCAGCAGTTCCTACCTTCCCTTTTGCGTTGCGTGCAATGAGGCTTCACTTTGGATCAACCAGGTTTTGCCGTGGGTCTTGCTGGGCTGGAAGTGGGCTGGGAGACACCAAGCAGGCTTCCATTTGCTCAAGAAGATGGTTTATTTCCCCCTGTTGGTAATTATGAAAGGGACTCTCTCACTTCTGAAATCTGTTTTTAAGGGACTCTCTCACTTCTGAAATATTTATTTCCAGGGACTCTCTCACTACTGATGTTTTTTCCAGGGGACTTCAGCAAATGGAAGCAGAGGCCATTCCACATCGGGGGGCCTAGGCCCCGAGCCCCACAGATTCTCCAGCTCCACCGGTGACTTGGCTTGGGCAGACTCTGAAGGGATAGGCAAAAGGAACGCCGCGGCAGTTCGGGGTGTCAACTCAAGGCCAAAAAACTTCCAACCAGAATCAGCTCCCCTTGTTGCTCTTTTGCCTTTTTGGGGTTCACTTTGTTTTCCACTCACCAGGCAAAAAGGATATATGTTTTTGCTGGGGCCCTAATTCCAGCCAAGAACCGAGTGATTTTGTGTCCCGAAAAGGGAGCCGCTGGGTCCAAGTCGCCAAGCTTGGCATAGTCAAAACACGGGACCCTTCTTACAGCAGCTAAGGCCTGGCAAGAAATCACCCAAATGCATTTGATTTCCTGCTGGGCTATGTTTACGGTAGACGAAATGTGGGTAGGGCACGTTGCACCATATGATCCACTGCGCCTACTGTCTTGGGCGTTTTTGTTTCTTTTTTCTTCTTCTTTTTTTTTGGGGGGGGTGGATCATACGGACCAAAAACCATCCCGCAACCGGGACTTGTAGGCACCCGGTTCAAGAGAGGGGCGCTGGCGCTTGGTCTCAAGAAGCTTAGGCCTCCACTTGACGACTTGTGGCATGAGGGCAACGAGTCTTCACCAGGGGGGGGGGGTCCTCCGTGTTTTGTTTTTTTTCTCCTTTTTTTTCCGTCTGGTTTTGTTCCTAAGGTAAATGAGTATATAGTATTTTGTATGTTTTTTGTTTGTTCCGTCTTGTTTTTTCCTAAGGTAAATGGGTATAGTATTTTGTATGTGTTTTTTCTCCTTTTTTCCCGTCTTGTTTTTTTCCTAAGGTAAATGGGTATAGTCTTTTTTTTTGTTTTTCGTCTTGTTTGTTTTCCTAAGGTAAATGGGTATAGTCTTTTGTAGGGTTGAAGCCCCCACACTGGCGCCACGGTGGTGCTTGTGGTTGTCCCTTTCAAGCCAAAGAAAAGGGTACCCTCAAGAAAAAGACGCACCCTGAAACGCAAGCAGAAAGTCATAATATTGGTGACGCCTGGGTTGGGCCAAGCAAATGTTTATTCATCGGATGGGAAGTGCGCAAGGGCGTTTTGCGTGAGCAAAAGATCAACCCTACTTGGATTTACAACCAACTTAGTAGGTTATAACCTGGTTACAAGACGGAGGGGACCAACCCCAAGTTACCCAAGTTATAACCATGGTTACAACTTACTTTCGAAGTTGGTTGAACATCTAAGTAGTTTGGATTTGCTTGGAGCACCCACGATGGCCTCTGAATCAGAGACACCGGCTAGCCAAGCGAGTACCCTGTATTGATTCCATGGGATCCAAAACAGCCCAGCGCTTTGTTTTTGGTGACACGCCCCACCGGACCCGTGGAGGCGTTTCTTTTTGGAGGGTGGGGGGGGGGGATGACAGCGACCATGTCCATGTGGAGGCGTTTTTTTTTGAGGGGGGGGGGGGGGGGGGGATGACAGCGACCATGACCATGTTGCCAGACCCGGCAGGCGCGGCTTTGGTGTCTTCTGCGTGTGGCGGGGGGGGAAGAGGCGGGCGAACTGCGCCCCCGCAGGCACGAGTTTGGCTGGAGCAGGGCATGTGGCATGTGGCAAGCGGAGTGATGGGCACTTCAAAAGCAAACCGCATGAATACACACACAAACATCCCATCCAACAACAACAACAACAACGTCAACAACAACAACACACGCACGTCCTTACTTTCGCACTTCGTTGGGCACCCATGGAGTCGGTCTTGGAGCCAGTCGCACTGCTTATTCTGCTACGCCTGGCACGGGTGTCGTTGCCTCCTGGTTTGGATGGCTGGCGGGCACGCAGCAGATTGATCGCTGCTGGCATCACTTGAAAAATATCATGCCCAGTGAGATGAAGAGCCGCGGTCCCAGCGGCCTGATCAACAGTCGCCTGTGGACGAGAGCATACCAATTCTTGTATAGACGGTCTTTGTGTGCCTGACATATTAAACATGTGGTCTCTGTGGCAAAGAGATAAAACAAGCAGTGCCCGATGCCAGCATGTCAATGCATGAAAGCTGCTGTTAGATACAAACGAACTTTTTGGCACCTTGCGGCATGCTCCTTCAGCAGATTTGAATGGTAAACGCGCGTTTTTGCGCGGGTCCTGCTGAGCGTGCGACCTTGTTTTTGGACAGCTGATTGCCACAAGCAAGTTTTTTTCTGATTCCGTCCAGATTGCGCTTCTGTAACCATCGTCTCAGAATCCGGGGGGGAAGCTTCTCTCGGGGGACTGCCCAGCCACAATCAAAGCCCGGGTAGATGAAGGTTAGTAAGGGACGATCCCAACCATAAATAGCTGCGGCCGCCTTCTTAATCCTGCTTCTGGGTAGACCATTTTAGTACCAGGTTTTGATTGCGACTCATGTGTGCCTGGTTAAAAGACAGATTCACTTGGTGTGACTTAGGGATGATCATGAGGCCCTTGTTGGGGCTAAGACCCACAAGGCCCTTCCGAACTTGGTGGCTCCCAGCCATCCGGTTCCTTAGCTTTTTAGCTTTTTGGTGTTTAGCGCGGTTTTCCGCATTTCGCCCACAAGTTCGTCACTTTGAGCGGATCTGAAAACGGACAGCCGAGTGAACCTGATCTTGGAGTCTCTGTGTTGAGCAGATGGCGCGCGCCGGAGCCATTTTCAGTATTGGCTCTTTCCATCACTTGGGGTTAGCGAACCTCGTGCAAGATGGAGAACAAGGTCACACTGGAATACAAGACTCCCGGCAAAGCACGCGAATCGCTGCGAATCGATATGGCTGTGGCTCAAAAAACCGGTACCCAAAATGGAACCCCGGTAGGTGGAAACATGGACCAAAACCTGCATAACCCCCCCCCCCCTGTTTAATTTTGAGCCACACCCAGATGGTTTTTTGTCAAGGAAGGTGGTGGTGTGCCTTTGGATGTTGCTTTAGTTAAACCTGCCAGATGGTTTTTTTCGGCGAAGCTGGCAGTATCTATGAGGATCCCAGGCAAACTACTGACTAGGTCAGGAATCGATGTTCCCTTCAGTTGTTTTGCCGGCTTCCCTTCGTCATGGGGAAGAACCGGTGAAATCCACAAACCGCACATCCAAACCGTTTTCGAGAATAATGTCAAATGGAACAAATGGAAGCATCGGGCTTGGCAAGGGAACATGCCGTCCAGATTAGGCAAGCCGAAGCCGAAGAATTGGTTGAAAGCCTTTTGTGTCGGCCGAGAGTTTGAAAACAACGTACTGACACACCAACACGTGCTTGCGACAGATCATTCGCAACTCCACGGGGCCCGATATTCCTTCTGCTTGTTCATTTAGAGCCATATAGCTTCGGGTTTTTAAGAGAACTAACCTCCTAAGGGGTTGGTGGACACGACCCCCCGTGTCCGCATGGTCCGAGCCCCAAATCTGCGTTTCACGTGCGTTGCCCAAAACCCGAAGTGAAGAGTGGTACGGGACAGTGCCAATCAGAGTATTGGAGGTGCGGCCGCCTTTTCTCGTTTTTTACATGCGTTTTGGGTAGACTAGTTGAAGAGCGATCGGTTTTTCAGTGTGACTCAATTGCACTCTACAAGAAACGGGAGTAGTAAACCCCTGGTTGATTGATTGATAGGGCTTTAGTTCACCTTGTTCGGGCAATGGACATGAAGAAACGGAAGGCACCTGCTGCTACAGCCTCCCTCGATTCGAGAGAGGGTAGGTGGGAATGAGGGAATTGAACAACCACTTCTCTTTATGGCTATTTGGGGTGATCTTTGGACTTTAACTCTTTGGTTGAACTCGTGTTGGGATTTTCAGAATTGGACCCACAAAATGTTGAACACTTTTTGCAGAGGGGTCAACAGCAACTAAGTTATGTAATACCATTCGGGAACCGATACCCCTCTTTCTTTGAAGAGTTGGCCGGTTGGTTGGAAAGGCCGTGTCTCCTTCAAGAGGGGATCCCTCACCTTTTAGGGAACACCACCGGTTTATTCATCTTCTGGGTTGATTAGCAATGTTGAGGGATTTGTCATGGTCGTTTGCATCCTTTTCAATCAGTTCCTGGTAGGTTTTGCAAACTGGTCTTGCTTTTGCAGATTGGGCGGTAAGCTGCTTGTTGTTGTGGGTCCCCAGTCGGTGTTGCAGATTGATAAGGGATCGTTTTTTCAATGTTCCCGTATCCGCTTTGCAAGGGGTTTCTTGTGTTGGACATGCACTTGGGTCAAACATATGGTATTTGGGTTCCGCTTTGTGCCCTTTAACAACCACATGTGTTGCAAGAGGAGAAGAGAACCTCATTTCCTCATGTGGCCTCATTCTACATTTGGCGCCGCTTTATGCCCATTCCGGTTCTCAATGTCAGCTTCTGGTGTGTGGCTTCCCTTTAACCTGCCCTTCCTTCCACGAGCAGAAGACACCTTGGGGAGGGTAGGTGGGAGTAAGCGTACCACTTGGGGGAACTATCATGTTTTAGACGCCGCAAAACACTTTTGGCCAGTTTATTTTCTGATATTTGTTGGAGTAGACCAATAATAATGGAATTGTTTAAAAAACAAAACAAAACTGCAAACAAAAAAGAGAATGGAATTGTTAAAACAACAAAAATAACAAAACAAACTTTGGAAAGTAGTAGCCTCCGCCGAAGACCTCCATATTTCAGGGTTTGAAAGGGTTCCAGGGCCAAGGGGCTGCCTGGAGAGGCCTGCTAGGGGCGATCGGGTACTTGGCGGGTGGTTGGTTCTAACCCACTGCAGCCATGGTGTTGTTCGTCTCCGTGAAGTGGGTTATAACCATAGTTACTAATCACTGACTGAGTACCCCCTACTCAAAAATACCCGGTTTTTTCAGGGTATGTTTGGGAAAACCTGGTTTTCCACGGTAAATACCTCCTTTTTTGAAGTGTGCAGCGAAGCCGCCAAAAGACTTCGTCGCTGAGGAACACCTTTCTCCAGGTAGTGGAGGCTGAAGTTCTGATTCGCTCCCGGAGCGCCGCTCGGAGCTTCGATCGGATCGAGCGAATTTGGGAGGACGGACAAAAACTGCGCCAGAAAAATGAGGAGCGGCTA